AACACTTTTTCTACCATGGGATCCTAGTAACCTGGCTTCTTTTATTTCTGACTCGGGTACAATAGCACTTGTTTGGTCCTTTATGATCTGCAGAGTAATTTCTTTACTGTTTGTTTGGTTCATATCACTGGGAAAAAGTGGACTGTTAACTATTACTGTGTTTGGTGCTTGTAGAGTGAGTGCGACTGGAGTGGTAGAGGCAGTGGTATTTAATAACATACATGTTAATAATAATAATAATACATGTTATTAGCAATATGTATTATTATTATTTATAACATGTTATTAAATACCACTGCCTCAACTGCTGCCTCTACCATTTCCTCAACCGCTGCCTCTACCAGTGCCCCAACCGCTGCCTCACCCACTACCTCAACCACTGCCTCACCCACTGCCTCAACCACTGCTTCAACCACTGCCTCAACCACTGCCTCAACCATTGTTTCACCCACTTCCTCATGCACTGCCTCTACCATTGCCTCTACCATTGCCTCAACCACTGCCTCAACCACTGCCTCAACCACTGCCTCACCCACTGCCTCTCCCACTGCCTCTACCATTGCCTCAACTGCTGACTCAACCACTGCCTCATGCACTGCCTCTACCATTGCCTCAACCACTGCCTCACCCACTGCCTCACCCACTGCCTCAACTGCTGCCTCACCCAATGCCTCAACCGCTTCCCCAACCACTGCCTCTACCACTCCAGTCGCACTCACTCTACAAGCACCAAACAATGAATTATTGTGAAATGTTTAGAAGAGCAAGGAGACTAATGCTCACTCCAGCATAAACAAAGCCACACTGTCGATGTGTCAACCACTCCTTCGTATTTTTGTACAATTTCCTTCTTCAGTTCTATCGTATTTATTATTATTATAATTTATTATTATTATTATTAGTGTTATTATTACTACTACTACTTGTTATTATTAGCAGTAGCAGAAATGTTTGATTCTTTGCTGTGTTCAAGAGTCAACACATGATGTCACCGTCCAATACCTGCCCGAATAGTCATTCCAATATGCAATCATGAATGGGTTTACATTATTTATACTGTAGTTTAATAGTAAATAATGAACAAACAAAACACTCACCACACTGGTGGGAGGGCTGGCTGCCAGTTGGGGGGTCGGAGGGAGGGTAGTAGGGACTCGCAGTGGTCGAGAAAGTGGAGGCAGTGGTGGAGGCAGTGGTATTTAATAACATACCTGTTATTAAACCATAACATGTATGTATTTAGTACAATTTACGACGTTTTCATGTATTTTATGATTGTTCATGGTTCAACAAGTTAAGGAAGAAGTATTGTATTATATTTCCCTACAATATATTGGGGCACCAAACATTCGCGATTTTTCAACATTTGTGAGCCTCTTGATTCCCTAACCCTCGCGAATGTTGAGGAAGACCTGTACAACATCAACTGCCTCCCTCTATACAACATCAGCTGTCTCCCACTATACAGCATCAACTGTCTCCCACTACACAACATCAACTGCCTCCCTCTATACAACATCAGCTGTCTCCCACTATACAGCATCAAATGAGACCAAGAAATCGCAAATACAACTATAAAAAACATACAAAAAAACACTGCAAAGTCGCTGTTTTAATCGAAAATTACCTATCTAGGCCAAAATTTACCGCTCACAGCTTATCAGAGTAAGCTGAGCTCATGATGTAGATCTACGGTTTGGACCCTCAACGTAAAGCCATAGATCTACGGCACAGACCCTTGAAGTGTTAAATGTTCATATACAAAAAAATGTATTTCATCAGAAACAAGCTTGAAAATTTTTAGTTAAAATTCAGTCGTTTTTATATGCAAAGAGTCACTTTCCTTCCTTCAAATTTTCATTCCCCCTAATTAGGTTCAATACTGATTTCTCCTATTTAATTTTTTGTTTCAAAACTTGTAAGTCTTCCTGTTGAGTCACCAATCATTGTTTCCTTAATAATTTAATCAATAAAGATATCTCCAAAGCATGATTTGAATTCGTTATCTGGTCCACATTAGCAGAGCCCCCCCCCCCCCTCTCCCTCTCTCTCTCTCTCTCTTCTCTCTCTCTCTCTCTCTCTCTTCTCTCTCCTCTCTCTCTCCTCTCTCTGTCTTACTCTTGTGTCTTTCTCTCCTCTCCTGTCTCTCTGCTCTCCCTGTCCTCTCTCCCTGTCTCTCTCTCCCTCTGTCTCTCTCTCCCTCTCTCTCTCTCCCTCTCTCTCTCTCCCTCTCTCTCTCTCTCCCTCTCTCTCTCCCTCTCTCTCTCTCTCCCTCTCCTCTCCTCTCTCTCTCCCTCTCTCTCTCTCTCTCCCTCTCTCTCTCCCTCTCTCCTCCTCTCCCCTCTCTCTCTCTCCCTTCTCTCTCTCCCTCTCTCTCTCTCCCCCTCTTCCCCCTCTCCTCTCCTCTCTCCCTCTCTCTCCCCTCTCTCCTCACCTCTCTCTCCCTCTTCTCCCTCTCTCTCTCCCCCTCTCCTCCCCTCTCCCCCTCTCCCTCTCTCTTCCCTCCTCTCTCTCTCCTCTCTCTCTC